AAATAGTGGCCGTAATCGTCTTCAGTGGACAGTCCGTCCACTTTCTGGATGTACTCGTAGGCCCGGAAGTCCTCCCCGCCATCGCATCCATTATCCCCTTCATTCCAACTGCAGTCGATTAGCTGCTGTTCAGACAGTTTCACCAAATGTCCGCTTTTCACAAAATATACGCCTTCGATGGTACCGGTAGTGCCTTAGGAACAGTAGTCTGGGATTACAATTGGCTTAAGATTTAGGGACCCCCTTAAGACTCACCGAAAGACCAACACGAGCCACAAACTGTATGTCAAACACAAATGTCTTGATTATTAATGTCATAGAAATTATGTATACAACCAATACATACCGGCCTGATCTTTGACGGGAGTGACGGCTCCACTCAACCTCCAGTCCCACTGCTGGGGCACAGCGTTGAGCGAGTATTTAGTTTTGTCGAACTCCAGTCCCCCGTTATATTCAACACCGGAATACCGTTTCCCTCGCAAACTCCTCCGCTCGAAGTCCGTCAGATCCGCCAAATGGTTGACCGAAAGCCTGTATCCAATGTTTTCTCTGTTTTTCGACGAAATGAATCTCAAGTTTTGTCTGAAAACGTCTTTCCTTCCTCTCTCATGAGTCGAGTTATCGTAGCGTTTGTCGTGTTTGTCCGTAAACTTCGCGAACTCCGAGTCCACGTGACTGTCGGCGCCGCTAATGAACTCCCGGATAGGGTTGTGGTGACCGATATGCTCGACGCCCGGCCCCGGGAACGAGCGGCACGTGTAGTTCGCCGGCAACTCAAACACCTGGGGGTCGATGGCACCGGACTTGTAGTTCTTGTAATAGACTTCGTATTTGTCGTAATGCGAGCCCAGGAGAGAGTCGTAGCCCTTCATCAGGTACTGCACGGGAACGGGATTCGAGTGGCTGTCCCTCGAGAGCCAAAACACGTATTTATTGCTCTTATCTCCATATGTGACCGAATACTCCCAGCGCTCGCAAACTGTATTTTCTTTGATGAGACCAAAAATGTCTGAACACACGTCTGATCCGATCTTTTTGAATGGGGTTAAGTCGGGTAACAGGGGTTGGGAGCTGACGGGCACCTGTTGGCTACCGTTCACCTGAAAGCATACTCTCTGGGCGTCGCCCTTCTGGTCGACCATATAAGCAAACTTGAAGCTAACGCCCCCCTCATTGAGGTCCGGCCGCTGAATGGTCTGAACTAAGTCGCCGTAATAGTCGATACGACTTCGGTTGTGAGTGCCGTCGAAGTAGCCGATGATTGGCTCCTTTATCTCGGCGTAGGGCAGGGATAGGACGGCCTCAACGTAATAGTCGGCACCAAATACGGGTATATCTTCGGCATTAATGGTTGACAATAGTGTCGCTAATTATATTTGAAAGTGATTATCAGTTTTAGTGTCCAATATAATTGGAAATTAATTTATTGATTAATTTAACAGTCATTTTAAGTGATAATTACCTGAGTATACGAGAAACGCTAAAAAGCATTTCATTTTGGCAAACTTTGAAATCTGTAAAATTGTTTTATAATAATTAATTATTAGTATTATTAATTACTTTTAATTATTTATAAATTATATTCAAATTGCAATATTATTATGACTGACTAATTTTTATTTATATGTTATTTAATCACAATTTGTTGACTCAAATAAATAAATAAACACTAAAACCGGTTCATAAAAAATAAAATACAAAAAAATATAGATTTTGTATACAGTTAAATAGTGTATTAAATAATTAAATTTAACTCACTTAATGTGTGTTCAATGCATAAATATATGACAAAACAAAGAAATATGAAATTGTGCTGTATACTATACTTGTCACTAGTTACTAAAGTCTTTGTGTGGTATTGAAAATCACTTGAATAGTTCAAAATGTTTAGAATTGATTAGATTATCGCACACTTAGTGATTGACAAACATTTACACTATATTTACAATAATTTAAACTTATTTTTATGATCGATAAATAAGAGTATCCTATCAAATGAAACCACTTATTATACTGTACAGTATAAAGCAAAACCTTTATGTTAGACAGCTCATTTCAATTTGATTTTATGTGAACTTTTGGACATATAAATATTTGTCAACAAGGTGCTAAAACAACTCATTGCGAGTTCATAAAATTATATAAATTTTTAACTACAAATATTTTATAAAACATTTTATGAAATAGAAAATAATTATTTATTCTCAATGCTGATTAAATATTTTTTTATTGAAAACAGATTAGTTTTATTATAACTTCAGTTCTGTAAATGGATAGACATATAACCAAATGAGACTTTTTGGAAAATAGCATTTACTGTATATTATACTTTTATTAAACTTTTATTAATCTTTTATAATGAATATGAGTGTGTTTATTCATTATAAAAGTTTAATAAAAGTATAATATACAGTAAATGCTATTTTCCAAAAAGTCTCATTTGGTTATATGTCTATCCAAATGTTGTAATATATTTTTTAGCAAGGTTTAATAACTTTGAAATGCATTATCAAATTATTTGGATTAATATTTTTGAACAATCAAGATAATTATAGGGATTACTGAATTTAAGATTAAAATAATTGTCGAGTATACCGTACACTTTACTGTAATCAATTTCAATAGGTTAATACTGTATAATTGCATTATATCAATATTTATTACATGTCTTGTAATTGATTTATCTAGTTACTATTCTATATACTGTAGATTCCAGTATATTTGTTAGGATATTTTAGAATACCTACTTTATCTTTCTATTGTATTTGTATCATTGTAAAGTTTATTTAATTGATTGCTACACGTTACATTATTGATTTTTATTATATGATTCAAACAATTCTATCTAAATATATTTATCCAATAAATGAAATTCAAAGAATAATAATTTCAAGGTTTTAATGGTATTAATGCAATCGTCATGAAACACATTATGTACAGTATTATTTATCATATAATTATGGTATAAGTTATGTAATATAATTTTTACATATTGATAATATCGATAATTAAAATATATTATCTTTATAACTTGAACTTTTTTCATGAAGTTGTAAATAATTTTTAAGCAATCAACTGATTACAATTTATCAATTACAACATTAATTTTAAAACTTATATTTTATATCTCTATTATTTGATACAGGTAAATTTTACTAATTTAATCCTTAATTACTTTTTAATGATATGTGCACGTGTAAGTCTTATGAGAGACATGCATGTTAAATTGAATGTAAACATTACTAAATTAATGCATATTTCCATTTATAGTTTTTATAATTAACATTTATCAAGGTAGTATTCCAGTCTCACCTATTCATACCCATTTAGCATTGCATAAGCTATATTTGATTGATTGTATAACTATTTGGAGGCTATACTGAAAAATAAACAATAGTTTAATCGCATCCTTTTCATACGACTACACATTTTCCAATGATTATATAAACTGCTATTAAAAGTGATTTAAAAAAGTATTTTGAAAAACAGGCGACTAAATGCTCATCGGATATGTACTTTGGTTACTGTGAATAAACAGTTTACTGAATACTATCCAACAATTTATTGCTTATAATTGTGTAATCACGAGAAATTTCACATTACAAGTATATACGATATGCTTATTCTGTACCCAACGAATTGATAATAAAAATGTACTAATAATACACATCATCCAGTGTGTGTTTAATATTAATATACTAGTATTTTTGTATGAAATGATTTAATTTCGAGTGAAAATAATAACAAAACAAAATACTATATGTCGGGTGTAGTTAAAAACTTTTTGTAATCAAATCGCCCAGTGCTCGGAGCACTGGTAATACAAGTTTTTAGTAAATTAATCTCAAGGATATTCACTGAAATATACTTGTATACTTTATATTCTTGTGTGTTCAAGTATAGACATTTTCTCAAGTGATAAACTTTTCATTTTATGTGTTCATAGGATTGTGTGTATCCAGTGGTGATTATCTGATGTCTAGCCATCAATTTGCTAATAATAATAATAATTTTAACATGTTTAGTTCACATAAAACACATACTGATTTTATGTGATAATGAGTACACATTAATTGGCTTATATTGTTCAATAATAATTATTAAATAATCACATAATGCCGTCAAAAAAGTTTACAAAAATCTGTTCAATTTGTGGCGAAAAGGCTATCGGTATGAATGACTTTGATTATCATTAGCGCAATAAAATACAATACATTTTCACTAGTATTTCATCATTTATTTCCGTATTAATTGTCGCTATATTTCAGTACATTTAGAATTTCACGGAATTCACACATTTTTCTAACATTATTTCATTAATTTATTAAAAGGTTACAACTTTTGTGCCATTTCTTGCGAGTCTTGTAAAGCATTTTTCCGGAGAAATGCCACCAAATTGGATGTAATATATACTTATAGTGACTATCAGTGAATTGTGTGCTTGCTTACTTAACATATTTGTCATTCTCCACTCATTATCCAGGAGTATAAGTGTCCGTTTGATGACAAATGTAAGGTGAATGTCGTGACCAGAAAATTCTGCCGCAAATGTCGACTCCGGAAGTGTTATGCCGTCGGAATGAAACAAGTATTCAATCCATTATTATCCAGGAGTATAAGTGTCCGTTTGATGACAAATGTAAGGTGAATGTCGTGACCAGAAAATTCTGCCGCAAATGTCGACTCCGGAAGTGTTATGCCGTCGGAATGAAACAAGTATTCAATCCATTCATTCAGTTATTCATTAAATAAAATACAAATAATTTTCATAAACTATTATAGGAATGGATTTTGAATGACGAGGAAAAGGAGGTCCGGAAGAATAAGATCGAAGAGAACCGAAAGCTGAAGGAATTAAACGATAAGAAGTCCACCAAAACATACAACGAGTCGTCGATCGCCAGCTCATCCCCGCAGACATCATATACGGACACAACGGGTGAGGACTCGACGATCGCCGATGTCTTCGACACGAATACCATCACTGATGACGAGATTATCACAAATCTCATGGACATCGAGACATACATCAGTCCTACTGAGGACTC